CCCCAAAACCCCAAAACCCCAAAACCCCAAAACCCCAAAACCCCGTGGGTTTTAATGCTGATTATTGAAAGTGAAATGAAATTTAATGTAAAAAGAGTAATGATTATTAGGATGAATCTCAAACTTCATCATTAAGGTTCTCCATATCATTAATTACAACCACTGTAGCAGCTGCAACTTTAGCTTAATTGGCTTTATCCTCAATTTCCTTTCTTATCTGTTCGAACTCCTTTTGATCTTCCTCAGTATACATAAGAGTGCACTGAATATCCAAGGGGAATTCAGTTGTTGTCTCGACCTTTACTTTTACCTTGTCGAAGATCTTCAGAGCCAGATACTCATGAGGTTGGAAATCGAAGTGAATTTATTCAAGTGATTTGACTTTCTTGAATTTGTCTCTCTTTTCCTCAGGATTAGAGCTGCCCTTGTTCTCAGATTTCTTAGTTTTCAACAATGCCACAATGATGAAGTGCTCCTCAAAGAATATCAAGGATTCAACTCTGGGGTCATCTCTAAGTCTGATCTTGTGATGCATGTTTATCTCATCCAAATAAATGCTGATTGAACTGTGATCCATATCGAATAGCAAAGAATCAAATACCTTTATCCCATTTGACTTCAATAGGAGACAATGGAACAACTAATAAAATGGGTTAAAATAAATAAATTTTTTACTCTTGTACATTGCTAAGAAGCTCTCTTAGCATTATAAGATTTTTCTGAGCATAAATCTGCATAATTAGAGTAGTCCATTAGTTCAATCAAGTCTCTGGTAGCATCTTTGTGCTAAATAGTCAGAGTTACTAATCTATGAACTAGCAAATCAGCATATCTTCTAATGGGTGAAGTAAAATGTGTGTAAAGCTGGAAGTTCAAACCAAAGTGCATGTACTCCTTTTCAGTAGCACCATTAATACACATATACTTGGCACATTACAAGCAAGTTAAGAACTTTCTCATAGCTACATTGAATTTAGCGGAATCTCCTGTGTCTCTTAAAGCTTCAAGACTAACACTCAATGTTTGAGAGTCAGTAAGATCAATACATTAAAGTCCTACTTTGTCAAAGAATTCCTTAAGTTTAGTCTTTTTCTCATCTTCAATGTCTGGATGAACTCTCAATAAAGTCTTGTCCTTGCAATACTGATGAAGGTGCTCTGCAATTAAGATATTGGCTAAAAGCATATACTCCTCAACCAAGAACTTTGATTCAATCCTATAAGATTCTTAGAATGATTGAGGCATTTTAGTATCTCCATCTAGTAAGAAGCAAAACTCTCTATTTTAAAGCAAAATACTTCCATTTTCAAGACGCTTCTTTCTTCTCTTTTAGGCAATTTCATTCATTAAGAAGCAGTCATCTCTCATATCTGAAAATTTAACTCCTTCTATTGGCTTGTGCTAAGTCTCTAATTAGGATTCATTAGTGATCTTTCCATCTAAAATATCTTAGACTAACTGATAGTGCCATTTAGCACAAGTTCTAATAACTGTTCTGCAGATTCTGGGAGCGAAACCTTTTTCCAATTGACCTGTTCTAATGTCCATTCTGAAAAATATTGAATAAGCTAATCTATCGACTTTAGGATTCAAAGAGCATAATCTTTCACAAAGAAGTCTAGGAAGCATGGGATAGACCTTATGGACAAAATAAACTGAGGTGCATCTAAGTTAAGCTTCTTTATCAAGTTCTGTTCCTTATTGTACGAAGTAGGAGACATCTGCTATATGGACTCCAATCTCGTATATGAAATCACTAATTTTGTCAATTGAAAGAGCATCATCCAAATCCTTAGCTGTGATTGGATCAATAGTAAAGATTCTCTTCTCTCTCAAATCAACTCTTCTTTCAATCTCTTCTTAGGGAATAATCCACTCTCCTGATATTGGATCGATATCTTTTGTGAAAATTCTCAAACTCTCATGGACTTTCTCATTCAATTTTTAACCCTCAGTTTCGTACTCATCAGACCAAATATCGTGCATTTTAAGGATTCTTAAACTTTCTGCATCAAGATTACCTGCTTCACCGATAGATGAAATGACATTGCAGACTGGTCTAATAGCAAATGCTCTCCAGGCAACCATTTTGACAATATAGTACCTTTGATTGAGCTTTTTCTTATTTTAAATATCTGAAACAAGTTCTTCTGGAATAGACTAAAGCGCCATCCATGGCAATTTCTTGCTAACTGGTACAGCGTAAACTCCACAACTTGCAGCATTCTTTTTAGTATCATAGAGTGATTAGATCTCCTTTGCTTGCTTTTCATCGAAATCTATATTCTCTAATTTGATTAGAGTGACTAAATGCTCTTTATCTCTGTTTGGACTTTTGACAATAGCCTTAACTAGTCCTAGTGGTCTAAGATCCTTGGAAATCAAATTTATTTAACTGAGTTTCTCTTGCTTAGTTTTTCCAGTGAACTGACTCACAACAAGAGGTTATTTTACAATCTCTTGCTTTTATACTCTCTCTTTTTTAGCAGAGTCAGTTATTTCTTCTTTGATAGTTCTTAAATTCTGCTTTGGTCTTTCAATCTAAACATCCTCTTCAGAACTTGAAACTTATTAATCCTCTTTGAGATAGTCATAGCCAACCTCATCACTCTCTTCCCCGCTATTACTCACTTCTTTAGCCTCAGCTTTATCAATAGCTTCATCCTTTTTCAGCTCTTCATCATTATCGTCTGATTCATCATCGCTGCCAGAGGAATGAGAACTTTGAGAAGAAGAAGACTTGCTGCTTGCTTATTTTTCTTGCTCTTTTTATCTTTTGAACTCTTCAGTAATTTCTTTTAATTCCTCAACGTCAGGATCTTTCTCATCAATTTACCCAAGTGTTTCTAGATCAATGATTCTAGTTTCAATAGCTGTTTCATTTGTATATCCCTTTGCAGCACCAGCATTATTAGCCTATCCTAGAGAATCTTTACCAACGACTACATTGTTTGATGTAAACTTCGTCCATTTAGAAGGGTCTAAGAGCGAGATAATAACAGTGTCTCCGTCTAACGCTCTATTTTGACTATTAAGGCCGTCAATCATAACATCGACAACAATGTCGTTTACCTAAACAAATGCTCTCTTTCTGTTATACTGACTCACTCTAAGAATACCCTCAAAGAGAGTTCCGTCAGCCAAGCCTTTCTTTATTTGCTTGTCATCAATATACTCTTCATAGTTTTTTCTCTCACCGCCTTTTCCATTATACTATTACTTACCTTGGCCTCTATTTTACTTATTAAATAGCTTGTCCTTTTGACCATCAAACTTTCTGATTGGTTTGCCTTAGACTTAACCAATTTTCCCTTTACCTCTTGAATCCTTTTTTTAGTTGTTTCTAGTACGACTGTCTTTTTGAGTTTTTTTAGTTTTGCTGTGATCATTGGTCCAGAATGAGTTCTCAACTCTCTTTTCTTTCTTGAAATCGAAGTCTTAGCCGTATACCTCCTAAAGCTTCCATTTATCAGTCTTTCCGTACTGCTACCCCTTCTATTGGCTCTACTCAAACTAAGCTCGACTTTGGAATTAGATATCTTGTAGCTCACTGCTATAGATACGCTTCTTGCGCTATTGAGAATTCATTGATCTGTATATTATGTACTAAGGTCCCTGATAAAATTCTGGCTTCATATAATCTGACCATAAGTTAATAGTTCTTCTATCTTGAATGACCTTTTCCTCAAATAACTCTTCAATATCTTGCTTCTATGATTAAAGGAATCTCGGCTAGAATATTTCATCGTCTGCAACGTTCTGATATTGTGCATAGGATCCATTATTCTAGTCCTCTTCAAATTGATCATCTTCAACCCAGTGATTGTTATTGTAGTCAGGAAACTAGGTGCGATCACCTCTTCCTCTACCTCTGTTTTTCTGTTTTGTCACCTAAAAATCTATAGGTTGTCCAAAACCTTGATGATTAGAGTCTCGACCATAGGACTAATAGTTATTTCCACCACGTCCTCGGCCTCGTCCCCTCTCAGCGAACCGGGCTTTTTGTTTATACTAGCCCTCTGGATGATTGTAATCTTAATTACGAGAATCCAAACCTCTACCTCTTCCTCTTGAACTGTTGTACCCTCCTCTCTGAATGTGATATTAGCCAGATGGTTGGTAGTATTAATCGTCATCAATACTCTCCTCGAGCTATTCATGACTTCCATACTTACCACTGTATCCTTTGTTACCGTTCACTTACTTTTTCTCCTCTTCGTAATCATTGTGATTTCTCTGGTTCTATTTACCACCTCTGCTGTACTTATCACCTGGGGCTACATATTTCAATATATTTTAATCATCTCTAACAAAACTATTGCCTTCAAAGCCAGGCCTTGAGTTTTGTTTTGGATTTCTATCAGATTAAGTGTAATTGTGCTTTGGCATCAATACTAAGGTTTGATTCTAGTTAATTTATTCCTTCAAATTAATTATTAAATATTGCATTTATACTACATTAAGCTAATCAAACAATCTCATTCTCCCCAGAGTTAATACATTCTTGGCAATACCAATCTTCATCCTCATCAATCTAATCCAAATTTACAGGTGGCTGATGGCAGTTCGAGTGAAAACCTCTATCACAGCCCTCGCAGATAACTATATGTCTCTCATCTAGGCCACTTTTGCATATTGTACAGATATAATGTTAAAGCTATTCATCTTGCTCCTCCTCAATCTTCTCCTCTTCAAGATATTCATCTGGAGCTTCAGATCTATGGTTCTCACAATAAATGATGAATTTTGAGTTAACAAACAAGCAGTTGCTTACTTTCGCGCACAAATAATGATAACTTTTATCACAAGTTTTTACATAACATCCTAAACCGCCTCCCTTCTCTTTACAGAGAGTACATTTGATTTTCTTACATCTTTTAATAGCTTTTGCAAGATTTTTGAACTTATTTTTATCATCCAAGAATATTTCAGGAGTCCACAAAGCACATAATTCATGCACATATGCCTCTCTGTCCTTAAGTTTGATAGGCCCATACATAGGCCCACATTTTATTCTAAGTTCCTCATCTCTGGAAGAGCTTTTGCAGAAATTACAGTACTCGTAGCCATCTGCAATTGAATATATTTTGTATCGCGGTCTTTCCTGTAAAACTTGCAGTTTATCTCTCACTACTTATCCCTCTTTATCAAATTCAATCACATTTCTTGCCTTTGTATCCTTCAGTTTTCTCATCTTAGACTTCTATTCGCCTTGTTTAGAACTCTGGCAAGTAAATTTTTTTAGTTAAAAGCTCAGTTTCCTTTTTTAAGAGAGCTAATCTATTAGTTAAGAACGTAGATCCTAATCATTCATAATTGCTGAGTAAAAATGCAATCTCTTGCCTTCATCATCGTGATAGTCTTTGGAATTGATAAGCATCATATATCTATCACATTAGTTTTCATTTAATCTTGCTTATGTCAGTAGATGCTTCTTAAAATCTTTATAATCTTTTGAGAAGCATAAATCTATTATAACTTCTTCTGTACGAGATTTCTCATTTATCCAAATTTCAATCTCTCCTAACACCTGCATTTTAGATTTTAATTTTACCAAAATTTAATTGGCATTCACCATACGGGGTTTTGGGGTTTTGGGGTTTTGGGGTTTTGGGG